AATACCGGCTGTGATACACCTGAGCACTTGTGTCGTTCAGATACAAAAGCAGAGAGGGGGGTACCAGAAGAGGCAAGTTTGACAGACCGCCCTGTGCTGAAGGATGCTGCAGCTGGTCTTTCACGCATGTAAAGTTTACAGACATGTGAATATTTCTCTTGTCGGAGGCCACTAGAGGCTGAAGGAGAGTGGTCACATCAACTTCAACCCATCTGTATTTCTTTCTAAATTCAAACTGTGAGTTAAAGGTAAAAGAGTGTGGAGCTCTAGGGGGCGTCTTGCTAGAAGACTCTGTCTTTTTCAACACCAGGTTGTAGACACATTTAACAGCAGAGGGAAAAGAAACTGAGTGGTTGAAAGTGTATAGCAAGACTGACTTGAGTAAGTGCTCCACAGCAGTAACACGATCCAGGTTAAACAGCAGGTCCACTGATGAAATGGTTCCTGGGGAGAAAACAATCCACCAGTAGTGTTTGAATACAAATCAAACATAATAGGAAGTCAAATCAAGGAATTAGGACTTTGAGATGTGCTTTCTCCCGTCTCTTTTCCCACTTCCTCAAGTCTCAAAGCGGGAGGCGGATGGTTATACAAAAAATGCAGGTAATTGGTACTATAGCTAATTCCCAGCAACTACAAGTGGATATTTTATCACTAGAAAGTCGGAACAGCTTTGGTGATGAATTAGCTCCAAACAGAGGAAGCTAATTAGGAGTTTTCTCTTGGAGAGTCTCTAGAGGGAAAACTATGATTAAAACATTTACTAAGCTTGTTAAGAAGATAGACATTCTAAGCCCTAATGGTTGGAATCAATAAAGAAAGCTCAATTGTTTAAGTTAATTTGGAACACTTGAGATTGACAACACATGGAGGCTCTAAAAACCACTATAATAAAATGGAACATCAAGGAAGGAGGAAGGGTTTTAAACAGCCACAACTGACCCGTTGGGTTAGAATCATGAGCTAGTGAATATAGTTTTTTAAAGCATTTCCCCTTTCACACACTAAGGTGCTGAGTCAAACTGTTGACTAACACTTTGTTCTTGTGAGGAAGGACCTACTGTTCCAAATCAGGACTTAAGTTTTCCTTAAGCTACAAATAAGGGAAAAACAGCCTGTGTAACAAAGCACACCAATAGCTATGAGATATCTTAAGCACATTTTCAGGCCAGCACTGGTAGAACGAGGAGAATAAGCAACTGGAAGTCAAAATACCTGGTTTCCAGCCTTGATTTTGTGACCTTGGACAAGATGCTAATCTTCTCCAGTAGCACTTTCCTCGGCCTTTAACCGCTACAAATAAGGGAAAAACAGCCTGTGTAACAAAGCACACCAATAGCTATGAGATATCTTAGGCACATTTTCAGGCCAGCACTGGTAGAACGAGGAGAATAAGCAACTGGAAGTCAAAATACCTGGTTTCCAGCCTTGATTTTGTGACCTTGGACAAGATGCTAATCTTCTCCAGTAGCACTTTCCTCGGCCTTTACAGCCATTAACTCTCTCCCAGCTCTAAAATTCTATCATATTAGCCCACCTTAGCCCATGAGGGCATTCGAAGAAACAATGAGACCAAGTACCAGATTTGCTTGAATTTGGATACTGAGTATCGTGCAATTCAAGGAGCAAGGCCCAGCTCCCTTCTGTGATTGAAATGTAGCCAAGTCTATCAACTTTCCTCCACCCATTAACCAATCTGCTCCTACACACCTGTCATCTGGTCCACAGGAGTCTGTTTGTGCTGGACATAGGGGGTGAAGAGCCGAACAGTGTTGCAGAGGTGACTTCTGTTGGATTTAGGGATCCCTTCCTTAGTAGCATATGCTTTATAGAGCCTCTTCATGTAGCGCAAAGCTCTGGAGTCTGGCTGCAGCCTAGGGGACCCACCTTGCCCATTATATAGGACCTTGAAGAGAGGGGGAAAGAGGCCAGCTCTGTCTCTCCCATCAAGAGACTGCAACAAGGACCAAGGTTCAGTGTCAGAGTCTAACTCAGCACGAGCTGCAATCTGGGATTCTCCCCTAGCAGCCTGAAAACCAAGGCAAGTAGGAAAACACAGCCAGGAAAAGCAGCAAAACCAAAAAAAGAGCTTGCTAGGAAGCGCCATGTCTTGGAAGAACTAGCAAGGAGAACAACCAAACCTGTCTTCCTCAAAGCCAGGAAGAACTTAGGTTGATCTCTTAAATAAATTTTAGATGTGTGGGTGGGCCAGACCTCGAGGGATCCTTGCTGAAGATAGTTTTTATCAGCTGTATATCAAGCAGCTGATAACACCTTATTTATCCAATTTGCCCTCATTACATACAGATTTATTTGATTATTTGGCTTTTCTCTCCCCTTTTCCTGGCATTTAAAACCTTCAAAATTATTATACCAATGCACTAGCTTCGTAGCTGAAAGGCTAAGAGAAATTGAGGAATGATCTTAAAATAAAACCACTCATTTTTTAGGAGATTAAGATTCTTAAAATGTTCCTTAGGTGCTTGCTGAAATTTCTGAAGCACCTGGAAAAGCTGATTATTCATGATGATATGCAGATCTGTTGTTATGCAATTTATGGTGTTGGGGTTACTCTTGCTCTCCCTTCATCCTCACCAATTCTCCCACTTTCAGGTGCTTAGAAGAATTATTTACTGCATGTTGATTTGGAAGGTGAGAGAAAGTCACAACTGGCATTGAAATTCCAAGGAGCAGAGAACTGTTAGGTTGCCCAGTTTTCCTAGGTAGTTTAGGATAGAATATGGACTTGGAATACTGCAATATTCTTAAAAAAGGACGTCACTTTTAACCCTGACTCATTTAAAAATATATCTTGATGTCTTTATTTTGTTTGGTTTGCAATTCACGAATACATGTTTTGGTTGAAAGGTTTAAAGATGTTTACAGGTCCTAGAAAATACATGAAAGTTTTATTTTTTTTATTTTTTATTAATCACCCAAATGGTGGTAGAATTTCCTAGGGTGTTTTGTTCTTAACTGTTTTAAGTATTTATGTTGTTACCTTGGAGCTGAGACCAGGCTAGAGATTATACTTTAGAAAATGGAGACAAAGTTGCACCATGAACAGCCGAAATGAGGCGATATCCAGTGTCATGTAAGGAGACTGTGCTGGCAGAAAGGCAACCCACAGTCATGGTACAAGATACAGAACCAGTGTGTGTGGTACTTTGGATGATAAAACTGAGATATGTTTGCGAACTAAGTCCCTAGCCTGCCAAGCCTCTCTGGCCTGTGGCTGGGAAGCAGGCTTATAAAACACGAACTGTTGAACAAGATCGTAGTCCTAGATTACATATGGCCAGCAATTCCATGAACAAAACCTTTACAGACACTATATCAAGTAGAAGAGTCAGTCAGCTGCTCAGGACAGGAGCAACCCTAAGCAGAAAGTACTTTCCGAAAATACTGTAACGTTCCTCGCCTCTCTCCCACTCCCATCCGACTCCAGGCCAAACCATATCCGGGACGTGATGGGGCGAGCTGGCTGCCGTGGGGGTAGCCTCGTGCTTCCCCCTTATTGCCAAAAGACCTGACATTTATTTGGGGACTCTAGTGTTGAATTTGAGAAAACGTCTTTATTTTATGCTGGGAAAGTACACCCTGCCAGTGGATTCTCAGGCAGCGATGGTCAGGAGAAGCCCCAGATCTGAGTCTCTGATTTTGGTACTGGGGTCGCTGATGGTTTGAAAAGAACCCGATTTTAGCTACAGCACCAGACTGAAGAAAACGTCGCGTTCGCTGCTGTGCGGCAGCATCGACTCCGGCCTCAGGAGCGCTCTCCACAGTTGGAGGACTCACACTGGAGGGCAGTGCGGCCCTCGAGGTCACCTGGCCCCTTTCTCATCACTTCTTTGTCCCCCTCTGTACCCGGCTGCTTCTTGCGGCTCCACAGATAAGAACGATGAGGGCCAGAGGTGGCGCCTCGGGCCCCAAAACCTGTAGAACCCTCGTCCTGGGCTAGGACCCACGTACCCCGTCCAGACACCGCCCACACACAAGGTCGCGCAGCCAGGGCACTTCCATCCAGAACGGGGGCCAACCGCGCCTTCCCCGGAGACAGCAGGAAAATGGTACCCCCCGGAAGTGACTTCACGGCCTCCTGGAGCAGCTTCCGCTCCCACCGGAAGTGGCGGACGGAGACCGGTGCCTTCCGAGACTCCGGAGGGCAAGGTGACCCAGGTGCAGTATTAGGCTCCCGTGGCGCGGTCCTGATGGCCCGTGGGAGGGTGGGGGCGCCGCTTGGGCTGGGGAGGATGAAGAGCGCTGGGGAGGGCCTGTCGGGGTGGGGGCGGCGCGTCCCGGACTGAACCAAGCACCTGTGCGCCCTCGGTCTTGCAGGCGCTGCCGCCACCATGGGCCGCGAGTTCGGGAAGCTGTCGCGGGTACGGCATGTGATCACCTACAGCTTGTCGCCCTTCGAGCAGCGCGCCTTCCCGCACTACTTCAGCAAGGGCATCCCCAACATGCTGCGCCGCATTCAGGCGTCCATCCTTCGCTCCGCGCCGCGTGAGTGCCCCGTCAACAGTGCTCACTGCAGGGCCCGTCGACAAGCGCTCGCCATACGCACACGTTTTCTCACTGAAAATTCCCTGAGGCCCTTGAGCTAGTCATATCATCCTCCCCATCTTACAGATGAGGAAACGGAATCACAGCATTTAAATGTTAAATGGCCAAGGTCACTTGTGTGACCCCAGCGTCTCTTTCTCAGGTCATCTTTACCCACTTCTTAGCAGTGAACTGTTTTGTGTTGAATGTGCAGCAGATAGTGATGGTAGTTGCACAAGATTGTGAATTTGCTAAAAACCACAGAAGTGTACACTTGCAAAATGGTTAAGTGGTGAACTTTGTTATGTTAATTATCTCAATAAAATACTTGATGTGCAACCGGGAGGGAAAAGCTAGGGAAGGTTTGATGACAAAATTTCCTGGGTAGACCCTTTTCTTTCCATCACCTATAAAATGGGTGTGTAATGTAACTTTTCTTGGTCATCTAGTTTAAAAGTGATTTTTTGAAAACTAGAGACAGGAGGGCAGAATCAGTGGTAATGTTTTACATGTGCTCACTGCTTACTCTTACTTTTGATTTTTAAAGCGTTCGTAGCATTTTATCTTGTCTACACCTGGGGGACTGAGGAGTTTGAAAAATCCAAGAGGAAGAATCCAGCTGCCTATGAAAATGACAAATGAGCAACTCATCCGGACAATAGTTCCCTGTCTTTGGAAGACCCTTCTCTGGGAGAAGAGTCTCTACATTGTAGTGTCATGAAGACACAATAAACTTCTTATGGACTGCTCTATCGTGATTTTGCGTCTTTGTGAGCAGAGTCCTTGGTTTGATGCTAATATTCAAGTTCACGAACTCCCTCCCCCAGATGAGTCCTGAACAGTTTTGACTGGTTTGGGAGTTCGGTGAAGGAGTGGGCCTCACCCCTTGTTCTGTCATCTACAAGGAAGTAGCTGCATCTACTCAACTGCAACCTGATGGGTTGTGAGTGGCATGGACTGTGGGGGTGTTGGTCTCCATTCCTCTGCTCCCGTAATAACAATAAAACTTAACTATTGTCTTTACTATGTGTCAGGTACTCTTTTTAGCCTTTTACACAAATAAGCTCTTTTAAACCTCACAACTACCTTTGAAATATCATTACACTCATATTGCAGATGGGGACACAGGTGCAGAGAGGGTAATTCGCCCCAAATTTACAGCTAAGTGAATGGTGGAGTCTGGCACTAAAGTTTATGCTTGTAAAGCTACTCTCCTGCTTGTTCTCCTAAGTAGGCCTTCCGTGGCTGGAGGGGAGTTTGGCTATAAAGGGAGGGGGTGAGGTGACTCCTTGGCCTCTAGAGCTGGGGGCAGCACACTGGCTGTGTTTGTACTGGGTTACTAACAGTGGTTTTAACCATATATGCCCCATAAAACTGAAAATACTCTGGCCCTTTATAGAAAAAGTTTACCCATTCTAGAGCCTCTGAATCATCTTTTTGATAGGAAAGTTACCTTTTTCCTTTGACCAGGAGATGGTGAGGCTAGGTATTTGCTGTTTTATGCTTCTGCTTCCCTGCTCTGTTTCTAGAAACTCTGTCTCAGAACAGATACTTCTTGCTGATTGAGAGCAACAACTTTCACAGTGTAGCTGTTTCTGACCCAGGCTATATCCTTATTCTAATGATTATTCTTGACTTTCATGAACCCAAATTAAAATACTTCAAAACAACAAAAAAATCAGATTAATTGCATTGATTGTGAGGCAGGATAAGGGGAAGTGGCCGAGTGACAGACTGGGCTTATACCCTTTTAACTGTTGCTTCCTCCCTATGTGATGCGGTCAAGAAACCTGCATGTGACCTTTCAACTTGTTACCCATGAAATAGATGTATTAATACAAAGCCATAGGGTTGCAGTGACAGTGAAATGATATGTAAGAGTGGCAGGTACTGCAGGCTTAAACGACAGCTGTATGATGAAAACTCACCTCACTAAACGTCCAATTTTCTTGCTTGGCTCTCGGTCACAATTCTCAGGGCTTGCTGCCTGATTTGTACCATATTTGGGTCATGGACTTTGAGAATCTGATGAGAGCTCTGGACCTGACGAAGGTGTAAACGCACCCATCCAGTTTGCATGGGTTCACGTGCCAGGGGAGGACCACGCCATTCATTAATCTCTCACTTCCTCTAATTTGAATTCCAACCTTCGTAGAGGAGATGGTGACCCTCTCCCACCTTCTTGGCTTCATTTTTCTCAGATTTTGACTCCTTTGGAGATAACAGCTCGAAAGCAAACCTACCCTTTCTTAGCACTGAGCATGTTGCTCTGAATCCTTTTTAGGCCAGGAGCGCCCTACTGAGTAGTTCTTGCTGTAAACCCTCCTATGTGCGGTTTCTGCTTTTGGATAACATTCTTAAACGCTGCTTTAAGCCTGTCTCTCCAAAGAGCTTCCCTCTGTAAACCTGGGGGCATGGAGCACTGTGTTAGCAGGGTGTTGATGTGGGAGGGGGTGTGTAGAACATGGTGAGTTATCATCGCTCCTGTACATGATAGGGGATCCGGGATCATTTTAGCGACTATTCTATCTAGAAATCTGTAAGGAGAAGGAAAACGGGTAAAGTCTTCTAAAGAAGTAAGGACTACTGTAAGCCTCAGTGCCTGTAACCCACCCACCTGGAGCCTTCACCCCGGGTGTGGCTCCTGCTGCCAGGACACCACCATTTGTTCCTTCCGCCCTTCTCCCAGCAGCACTGCTGCCCCAACAAGGACCTTCATTTCTGGGCTGCAGCGTGTGGCAAAGGGAACTCTCTCTCCAGTCTGCCAACACAGCCTTGGAGATGCAGGCCTGCCCAGTGCCGGCCCAGAAGTCTGAGCCAGGTCCAACCAGCAAAATAAGTGAATACGCTTTGACCCTTTGTTGAAATTTTACCTGGAAAAGTTTTTCCATTTCAGTAAAGTCTTTCATTTTTTATGAGGCACCTCCTTCTCAGGGACAGCAGTGTCCATTTACTGCTTAGCCCTACTGATCTCTCCACCTGGAATGTTTCGAACATCTGCTGGTATACTACACCCCTTTTCCCCTTTCATCCCAGGCACTTACCTCAGAAGCAGAAAATCTCTGAGCTGTGTTCAGAGTTACCAAGCTATAAACTATCAAATGTGCTTCAGCCTCATTTTCTTCTTGTAAACCAGCAAACATCAGCGCCTCAGAGGCCTCAGGGACCTATCTCAATGACAGAACGAGACCAAAGCCCAAACTGGGTAGAGCTGGTCTGTGGTCAGTTACCCTACCTACTCTCCCTCTCCCACCTCCCAGCCAAGCATTCTTTTCATAATGGCTGAAACTGTTAAAGGCTGCTTATGCCTTTCCCTGAAGGAAGGAACATGTAGTTGTTTATTCAGCAAAATACTTGATTGCAGAGAGCCCGTGACTTTAAAAAATTTTTAATTTCAGGAATAGGCCTTTACAACTACTCAAGGGGTGTGCAATGGCTGTGGACAACTGCTGTCACTTCAGCTTAATGCTGCCTGGATGCCACTTAGCTTTTAAAAGTTTGATTTTTGCTCCATAATTTAAATAAAACAACTGTAGAGTTAGTTTAGACCAATGTTGAAATACTTTCCCCAGCTGTGGTTCCTACCACAGGCAGTCACTAATGGTATCTTGCTTTTGGGAGGAGAGGTGGCACATAAGATAGAGGCTTGAGTCACAAAAGCTTCTGCAATGCTGTCACACCATGATGAATGGTCCTTTTTGTCCTCAAAGCACAGGGGGCCTGGGACCCCAGACCTCTCCCTTGGCTGTCTTGGCTTTATAAGTTAACACAGAAGTTTGATTTGATTGTGCTTGGTGTACAGAAGGCAGAAATGGAGGATTAGGAGAAAGTACCCATCTCTGGAATGAGCAGTTTCCAAATCCCATTTGGCACATCACTCCAGGCTCATGGCGGGTGTGTGTGTCTGTGTGTGGCTGGCAACGAGTCCACAGACCAAACTGGCTCTAGGACATCACGTTGTTCAGTCTTTCGCTTATCTAATTGGATTTGTATTCTTACCCAATGTTCACTAGGTCACCACATAGCCTCTTCCTCATCCTACAAAAGTTCCAAGTGAAGCCCCTACCTGGGGCCATTCGGGATCCAAGCTGAGTGTAAAGAGGTGCAGCAGCTGACTACTCTCAGACTCACAGGATTGGTTAGGCGGGTTTAGCAGAGATCTGCTTCTCAATGTTCTTGAAGTGCTAGCAGTGGTGTCTTCTACCAGGCCTTGCTCCAAGGGCCTGAGAGGACTGGAACCAGGACAGATGGATCTGTGGTCACAGTCCACCCAATCCCACCACACCACCCTTCTTCCTTGGCAAAAGAATTGGTGACTATTCTGTTCCACTGGCAGCTGTGCTGCCATCTCACCCACTCTTCCTTGGGGGAACTGGCTGGCTCTCACCAAATATCCAACCTCTGGAAGGGCCTTGGGAAGAGATTATTAGCAAAATTTTCACAGAAATGCCAGGCAGAGAAAGAATCTTTGTCTTGATGGCTAATCCAGGTCATAGGAAACCTGAAGTCCTATAAATCTCCTTACTCAGAATTCACACCTTTCCCAGTTTATTAAAATGCTCATCATTTAATGGGTACCCACAACTACTCATGATTTAGGGACATGCCCTTTCGTGGTGTAGAACTTCAAGTTCCCTTGGTTCCCAGGGTTTAGGGCCTTGGAGATGGCTCAGCCTTGGGTCTGCTTCCCTGAGGCTACTGGAAGGATATGCTCTTTAGGAACCCCCCAGTCAACTCTTGGGAGAAAAGCCCATAATTCAAGGCTTGCAATGTGATTTGTAACCACTGTACAAGCTCTCTGTGATTTAGGAGCCCCTGCTACCTCCTCCTTCACATTTTAAAAAATAACAAATCAACCTATACTCGTTCATTCAATTTGCCCATGGTTCAAGTAAGTCCCACGTCAGTCCTGATCGCCCTTTTTCCTGGAAGAGAGTAGGTAGGCCAGAGATTGACTTCCTATAGCTAGGTCTCCATTCTTCTAGGGAGATAACCTAGAGCAGATAATTAGGGTGACAGTTCATCTATACAAATGGGGGATCTGGGGCACTGTAGGCCATGCAGGCCATGCTTGCTGAAGCATCCTCCCACAGCAGGGAGGTAAGGGCCTTATCCAAATGCCTGTAACACAAGAGATCAGTGCTGCTTTCCCAGACAAGGCTGGAAGGGGTCAACACTATTTCTGAAGACCTCATTATCAGAATTCTATTTTGATTAAAGTTATCTCACTGAGCTATTTTGGAATCCAAATGTGGCCAGATGCCTAGCCTCCCTCAATGGCTTCACGTGGCTTTCAAAGGGGAAAGGGTAATGCTGACTTTTGCTAATGGGTGAAAGGGTCCAAGCCAGTAACATAGTCAAAGTCCAGATGAGGGATCAGTAAATACAACGTGCCTGCAAGGGAGGCCTTGAGCACATTCCTCTGGTAGACATTAACTTATTAAATCGACCCTGATTGCAAAAATAAACTTTGCCCCCATCTCATCTGGCAACCATAAAAGAGGTGGATTTCAGTCTATAAAAGGAAGTAGGAACTGCCCCTGGTTTCAGGCTCCAACATCCTCCGAGTCAAGATGTGGCACCTCAAACTCTTTGCTCTGCTTATGATCTACCTGTTGCTGTTGGGCCAGGTAAGGACATGTGTGCGGAAGTGTGGGGGCAGTGGTGGTGCTGGGATTGTGGGCAGAACCCGAGAACCTGGCTCAGTCCTGAGGAATGGCCCCTCTGCTCTCAGCCTACAGCATCTTGGGAACGATCATTCTTCCAAGGTGCTCTGCAGAGTGTCAACTCTTCCAAACCTGAGATGAACCTATCTTTGCCCTACAGGTAGATGGCTCCCCAATACCGGAACTGAGTTCAACAAAGAGAAGGCTTCGGAGAATGACCCCATTTTGGAGAGGGGTTTCCCTCAGGCCCATTGGAGCCTCTTGCCGGGACGATTCCGAGTGTGTCACCAGGCTATGCAGGTACTCCACAAAGCCGAGCTGAGCTAGATAGAGGCCTGGGAAGCTGGGCAGAAGAGGGCTCAACACACACACAGATTTAAGAATAAAATTGGGATGGGGACTGAGGCTGAAAGCTCCATGGAGGAGAATCCCTCAGGAGTTAATAGTCAAGAACAGCTCCACACAGGTACTGTGGAGGAGTAGTGCCATTCCTTTTTTCAGTCTTCCATAAGAATGGATAGATCAACCAGAGGAAGCAGCAGGTTGTCTCTGGGCACTGTTACCTTTGTCTTTAAAACCACCTTTCTTTCCCTTTAGAAAGAGACGCTGCTCCCTAAGTGTGGCCCAAGAGTGATGTACATACCAGGGAAAAGAAGACAGTACTCTCCTTCAATGCTCCGTTCTATGGAATATTGATTAACTGCATTTTGGCTGGAGACACCTAAGTGAAGCAATCTTGTTTGTAATATTTAAAGACAAATGTATGCTTTAAATTGGTCTCCATTTCTTCTTAGAATGTTATTTACATAAACATAACTAAACTTGTCAATTTAGAGTTTATTTTTCTATGTATACTATTAAATTTCTTAAATTAACATTTTGGCAGTCTATAATTCAAGCCTTTGAGGGGAAGGATTCATTTTGTGCATTATAGAAAAAAATCAGCATTGCCTAATAATGATGTGTTGTTATTTCTTAATGTGGAAAGTTAACAGTGAGTAGTAACAAAAGTAGTGATAGTTGAGATTTTTTTCAAGAAATAAAGAACATGACAGGCTAAATAAAGGCGTAAGTTTAGTAACAGCTTATGTGATCAGCCTTGGCAAGTTCATCAGCTATGTGATCCTAGCCCTTCCTGACTTCCTGTAAAGAATTCTTCAGTGGGTGTCAGAGAAGGGCAGGTGACGTTGGCACTCGCCACCCGCTGATGTGCCCAAGTCTGTCTATGACTGAACAGTAGGCAAGACTGGAAGAAAAATCTAGTTTAATAAAAACGATAGAAGCCCAAGCTGCCATGAATAGCAAAAACAATTTGTCTGAGATTTCTGGGGAGCAAGGTGAATTCTAATCTACGCTAAGGGACTCATTGCTAGCAAGTACAGAATTTCTGTCATCAGAAAATGAGACTTGGACTAGTGGGACCGGACTTTTAAAGAAGAATAGCACTGGACCCTAAGACATAAAACAGAAATTACATGAAAAGGGCATAGTAAGAGTTGAAGAATTGTAAAGAGCACAGTGTTTATAAACTTTAATACAGAAAATCTATTTGATATTTATTAAACTTAGTTTCTCCAGCTATGGTTTGGCATTATACAAAGCATCTTAATGACACAGTAAAGTTAAAAAGATCTTTACAAATTGAAATGTGATACCCTTGTCTCCAAATATTTTAATTGCCATAAATTTGTTTAAAAATACACATTAAACGCATGTTTGACACTCTAAACTTTCTATAATCTCAATACCACAAAATACATATAATATACTATACAGATGTGGAAAAATCTAGTTAGTATATAATACTTTGCTCACCATTAACAGCTTTATGATGTGAAATGCACATACTGACTTAGAAATCCTAGCTTTTGAGCCCCAAAGTACCTCTGAAATTTTAATGTATTGCAACAAAAATCACAGTATATAATTGAAATTTTGGTTGAAAATGTCAGATGCCTAAATATTTTGGATAAAAAAATGTAAAACAAAGATCTGGATCGTGCACAAAACAAAGGCATCCACTCAGACACTAACAGTACCTTTCTACAGAATCAACAGACTTTTATCAGTGGCGTTAGCTCCCCTCAAAAACCCTCCCCAAATATCAAACCATTATTCACCAAATAATTTTAACTTCAAATAAGATAAAAAGATTTTAAATAAATATAATAAGCATTTCCAACCTCCATATACAAAATTTCTTAAAACCATTCAAAATGGAGGCTAGAGAGAAATTTTCATAACTGTGCTTCCCAACCTCACATCTGATCCTCAAAGGTGGTGCCTTTTCAAGCACTGCCAGTTGGACCAGCTCTGTTGGTGAGCCCCGCCCCACGCCCGCCCCAGTACTGTTGAATGCTCACGTCAATGACTTGCCAGGTGTGTGCATAAAATTGTAAAATGGGGACACTTCTTGAACAGCAACAACAAACTCAACAGTATGGATAACCATGGAATTGACTTGAAAGGCAGCATTTCCAAATGGATAGTTTCCAGAAAGGAACATAGCAGGTAGAAAGTTCCAATGGTGAAAAGCCAAAAAGAAACCCCATGTGGAAGCAGGAAGAGGTCAAAATTGAGTATTACTAGAATTTCTGGGTGGGAGTTATTTTTCCCATGCTCATTAGAGAACTTTGTTTCTTTTTAGGAATGACAATTTATGCTTAGCTGGGCAATGGCGGCAAGTGTAGGTCAACGCTGACATTCCCCCAAAGTCGTCTTCGTTACATGATGATTTCTTAGGGTGCTATTTTAGGGTGTTTATAGAGCTACAAGACTTGGTTCAAACTTAACTTTGATGCCTTATTCTGTGACCAGATTCCGACCAAAAGAAGAAACTTAGATATTCCTTCCATTCCCTCTTCTGGAGATAGTAAGTTTTTTTAAATTAACCATAGAGTTCAATAAAGTAGAATCAGCATCGGCTTTACCAACTATTAATTTACGTCCTGTCACTTGCCAGTTTGGTTCTAGGGTATAAACTGAATTTCTCTTTAGTGAGTATGTGAACCAAATGCTCACAAAGATGACCAATTTGGTCTCTTGTCACTACATATTTCAAGTCATTCCATACTTTTCTATTTACCTTACTGAATAGCAAACAGCAAATGTGCAATATTATTTATTACTGGAAAAAAAGTCTGCCTCTCCAACACTTGAAATACTCGATACTTGAAATTGAAATGAAATCTGTGTTCCACGTGTTCCGATAGGGAATATGAGTTATAGGAGTCTATATGGATTTGAAATGTTTTCCCAATTTTCTTAGGTTTTGTTTTTAAAAATATCATCACAATCTGCCTAAAACAGTCATTCCCAGTAGATGTTCCTGGGACCCAGAGGCAAACTCCTATAATTCAAAACGCATAACGAGTCCATTTTGCTCAACTAGCAACTGGGAAATTAAAATCCCACCCTGTAAGAGCCCTATTATACTACCAAAGAGCTCAAATATATTTTAAGAGTTAATTTACTACAAATAATAGTAATTAAGCTTTAAAGATCTAAAAGGAATACACATTGCACCCTTGAACATTAATATTCAAGGTGTCAACAAGAAAGTGTCTTAGATCAATTTAATAAATAATGTGGAAATAGTTGCACTAAGCTAAAACTACACACACACATTTTGACAAACTAATTTCATGTTTTCATACATACATACATACATATATATAAAGTGTGTATGTGTACATAATTTTAAAATCCAAAGTTGCATATGCTCACACCTAGAAGAGTGCACAGGATGCCTCTCCTCTACAGCTAGGCATCACAGACTGGAGTGACCCCTGGCTGCCCCGAAACTCCAGGGTGCTGCCAGCCCCCAGAGCCAGGACTTTCATTTACAACAGGTGCCTTTGTAGGTGGCTTGCTTCACAATGCAAGCTCATTCAATAAAGGTAATTTCCCAAAGTTTCTGTCATCACAAAATGATGCTGTCTGATCTAGCTGATTAAACCTTTCTTCAATGAAAAGAAACAATTAAAAACAACAGCAACAGCAACAGCAACAGTGAATCTAATAAAGCCACAAGTGTGTCATTCAAAGTGCAGCCCAGATGCCTATGGATCCATCAGTGCAAGAGCTCCCCAGATCACAGGCATGTGTGGGCATGTGTACACATTACCCTAGATTGCTTTTACACTGGAGAGCTAAATTAGTGATGGTCAACCTTCTCCACTCTTCAGCAACTATAGCTGTAAATTTATCTGTAGTACTCATTCTTATAAAGTCAGTTCTCAGCTACTTGCCCAGAAAAAGGTGGCAATGAGGCAAGAAACGGGCTGAATGCGCCCACCCCAGCCAGACTGGGCCTGGGCTGGACTGTGGAAGCTTGAATCACCTGCAGGCAAATGCTCCCCACAGCTCAGGCCAGGCTGGGCAAGACTACCATGTAACAACTTCATCCACTGCAACCTCTTCGCTGGTTGCCTGTAAAGAGTTCAATGGTGTAGGCTGCTGCCTCCTGGCATACAACCGTGATTTTAAAGAGTAGTCAACAGAATAAGTTTTTAAATAGTTGCTATTTCTATAATTAACTATATATTAAGTACAAGTCTCAGACTGAGTTAAATTTTTAGCCACTTGTTAAATTCAGTATTAAATGGTTAGAGAACACTGAAGACACCTAGTGAGGAAGGAGAAATGGTCACTTGGAAAGGAGTCCAAAGTGTGTGCTGGAGTGGATGAAGACACAGACAGAACTTCTGAGGAGATGGCCTCAGAGGAGAGGAAGTGGTGTTTCCACAGACTATTACACTGAAAATTATTTAGGATAGGATTTTGATCCATTGCCTATTACCACCTGGTGGGAACATCCCTCCACAGTGAAAAGCTTGAAAAATTCGTTCTCCAAGAATTGACACAGTTTTACAGAGAGAAAATCTTAGAGCAGCACCATAAAACATACAGGAAACTCTGCTTTAACAAAATATCAGCGTGACCCAGAAGCACTCCTCCCAGCACACACTGGAACTCAGATGTGCCTGGAGGCTGCTGTGGCTTAGAGTCTAAAAGCTCAGAGGATCCATTTTCCACTTCTAAGACATCACTATAAGCGAAGGAATCTGTCAGAGAAGTCAGAGAGGGCCAGGACATATGTCTACAGGGTAAACAGTAGCCAGTTCCTTACTGAAAAACCACCACAATCACTGAGAATTGTCCCCTTAAGGAAAACTGTTCCTAAAACACACGAAGATTAAATCAGAAAGATATGAGAGGCAATTTCTCCAAGGGAAAAAGGTTAAATTCGACATAATCTACAGATTTCAATCTCCAACGATATGCAAAAACAACATGAAGTACAAAGCAGTTAAGAAGCTCTATAAACATGAAGCCACAGGACAACAAAGTTTTCTAGCTTCAGAAGTAAATGTGAGAGAGACTCAACACAGAGGATTCACTGCACCACTGGGCTTGGAGATTTTCTAGTCCTTGTTTCCCAACTTCAAGCTTTAGCAATCATCTATAAATAGCAGGACGGTCCTTTTTTCTAATTGGATGGATTCACTTTTGGAATGGGGAGAAAGACAAACTATTTTTTGAAGCAGCATTACCCAATAGACTAGACTAAGTCATGTACCAAAGCGTTAGCTTTTCTGAATGAATCTTTATGTGACCCTAAAGGAAGATTTAAAAGGAAAGAGAATTTAACATTATTACTGCAAAAGACCAACCGTATGGGCGATCTGGTCCTAATGTAAAACTTCACTTGTAAACAGTCCATAGAGTCTTCACTTAAAGGTAAGATTTAAGGCACACCAGACGTGATAGGGGCACTAAAAACAAAAGATAGAGGGAATATGTCTCACCTTTGACTCTTACGTGTACCTTACAGGGAGGGAAAGGTGCTTTGATAGACAACTCTTACAGAGCTGGCTTCTTAAGCTCTACCCCTACGCCCCACCTCCCATTCCCAAGAGGGCTCACAATGAACCAAGTTAGGTATTTTTCTAGTGTGAATTTTCTGATCCCATCAGAAATATACATCACTGATGAGGGCCTTCATAATACAAAGGAAGTAATTACAAAACAGTTTTAGAAGGAGAAATCCATCATGTCCACACCAGGCATTAGAACTCTAAGTCGTACAGCAAAAGCACACACACCAAAGCTGCAGCCCATTCCTATATCGCTGTATGTTCCTATCAGAGCATCATAATCTAGCGTGGAAAAAATTTTTTTAAATCAAAAGACTGAAGAAAGATTTTACCCTTCAAACATTATCCATGAAAGAGATAACAGGCAACAACCTTCAGGAGTTGGATCACTCTTTGTTCAACAGTTAACTTACTGTTTCAATTAAGTGTCAAAATAATAAGCAACAAAAAAGAACACATGGTTTTAATAAAATCCATTAAGTTTAAGATTGTCCTTTAATGAAACCCTTCACGACACGTTTCTCCTAGAAAATCTGCCTGCCCTCTTTTGTAATGCATTAAATGCAAGTTATAGTCACCTTGTGATTGTTATAGTGTTAACACACATTCACAGTTCTTGAAATAATGCATACCAAATCAGACATATTTCATTTTATATCCATGTAGAATGCTATCTTCTCATATTTAAGTGATTTTTCATATGTAGAATATCCTTATTACTAAGTATAAACTCTGCATTAATAAAATTGTAGTTAAGATTTGAAATATTATCAGGTAGTAGGTGTAGAAAGAACATGTCCATATTTTAGATGAACCAACTCTTACTCTTAGAAGAGCTACCACAAAAAAGACGTTAGGTAACAAAGCTCCCAAAAAAATAAATAAAAATGCCTATATTAAATTTACACTAAATATTTAACGGGTTAAATTTATAGACAGAAATAATTAAGTTTTAAACTAGCCCCAATCTGAGAACTTAAAAAAATTAAAATAAATAGAATTTCAACCGATTAGTTATGACTTTCAACTGGAATTTCAATTATGACAGATGACTGAAACCATCTTATTGATGTGCTACAGATTTAAATAATTTTTCATATTGGGAATATTGAAGGGATCAACTGACATGATGACTTTGGGTCATAAAAACAGTTAACACATGAACCAGGGAGGAGAAAACCATTCCTCATTCTTAGTGTCGACTAGGTGGCGAGTTATGGCAGTTTCCTTCGTGATGTAACACAGTGTTGTGGAGAAAATCAGAGGCAACGAGAATGTGTTCAGTTCAAGATACCAACTTGGCATCCTGGCGAAGCCAGTGCAGTCCCTGCCGGGTGTAGCGAACTAGGTCTGTCATGATGCTTGCGTTAAAGATGAGAGGGCCCATTACTTTATCCAGTTCAGCAAAGAATTCTAGAAAACCAAAAAGACTCATTAAATAACATACGCTCTTTCTGAATCATTGCTTTAAAATTTTTAGTCTAGACTGTAAAATAGTATTCATATGAAGTCAAGAAATACTCCCTCTTACATTAACTGTCCATGTCTTAGAACAAACCATCCCATAGTCTCTCAAGTTATATTTTTTTCCTGAGTCACAAAACATTTTTAAAAAACTGTATGGTCAGGAGTTAAAATGCTATACATATAAGCAGAATTCTGCTAATGGAAATTACAAATTGTTAATATAAATGTTATTAAAATGGAGACCTAGTGCCACAATGTTCTATTACTCAATATATTCTCTGTGTACTGCTCTTCTTTAAGAAGCAAGTGGTACCCAAAAGGATGATGATTTTTGCATGTTTCCCCATAAAAGCCCCTTTGAGGTCAGACAGGTATGACAGCCTGTATCCTACCTTTTTGCTGTCACATTATGCAACACTGATAAAAAATAAATCCTATGTTTTAGACAGTAGTTTAAAAATGTAAGGGATGGAAATGAAAGGATTCTTCCTATGTGAATATGTGAGGCCAGGTGCAGAGGGGAGGACGGGACAACAGTATGTTAATGTTTGATCCCAATGCAATTTGGGGTGAAGAGAGAGCGCTGGATGTATGACTCAGACGGCAGAGAGTTGATACAGGTACACAGAAAAGAGGATCATTCTCATAATAAAGATCTCAGCCTACTTATATAAGAACAGAAATAATCAAAAAGTTGAGGAGAAAAGGGTCTTCTCTATTTCCTAATGGGATAATAAATGTAGGTAATGATGATCAATGGATGCTAAAAGTGTAAGTTAAAGTTTAGTAGGGATCTTACATCAAACAGTCAGACTGACACCACCTAAACGAATGAATGGTCAGGTCTTAATATCACTAAAACAGCGATAACCACCACATGCATCACACTATGATGCAACAGTCAATATGGAGCATCACCCGCAAACTGTTCTAATCTAAATAATAAACTCGAATCTAATCAAGCCTCGAGATATAACTGTCAGTATGAAGGAAGGAAAAGGGACAGACTAACAAGCTAAATGATATCCTAGAAAGTCACCAGTCAAATCCTGAATATGACACATTTTCATTCTATGGTCCAGTTTCTCCTTGACATTGATGGTATGGCCA